GGTAGAGAGTAAAGGTAGCTGCCGGGGGCAGCTTTGTCATCCAATGTCCATTCCCCACCTTTGTTACAACTTTGATTTATCTGCCTTTCTTCCTAGAGCCCGTTTCTGGGTCAACTTTCAAGCTTGACCTTGAATTGCACTCAGCAAACCATTTCCTCCAGAGCAGCACAGCAAGGGTTAAAAAGAAGGCACTGTGGGGGAGTTCTGGGAAACCTTTCCTACAATAAATACCGGCCTGTTTTTAACACATGTGATTCAGAGGTAGCAGGAAAAGGGACTGATTTGAACCTATATTTCACTCATCAGACCGTGAAGTTCTCTTCCTTCCTCCCCTAGCTTGATCTGCATAAAAACCTATCACCATAATTCCTGATTCTCAAAGCAAGGGACAGAAAGAGGCATTAGCATCTCATTCCAGACGATATCTCCTCATGGAAAGACAAGGATTTTGTTTTTGTTGTTGCTGGAGTTCAACATGCCAGCATGCTTTGTACATGCCTGCCAAATGCGCTACCACCAAATGAGACACAGCAAACTTGTAATGAACGACTTACTCCCCCAAGTACAAGGACAAGACGAGATAAGACCAACGTCTCCAAGCATAGAAATGGACAACTAAAAGGGGATAAATGATCCCAGTAAATTTAAAGTCAAACAGAGTGGAGAGAGCTAAACTTTAAGTCTCCATTTCTCATATGGGTTTTGTTTCTATAATGAGTGCACCCTTCACCAGCCATACCAGAAGGGTCTGCAATGGGGAAGACTTAGGGGTGCCTACTCTCTAACCCAGCATGTGAATGCAAGCTTCCAGCAGGTACATGTTAAAGAAAGACAGATGCCCACTGTGCAGGTAAAGCCAATCCTGGATGTTTTCTGAACGATGTCATTCTGTGCTGGATTTTTCTAACTACTACATTTACACTGTGTATATTATATTTACACACATATATTATATTATATATAATCATCATCACGATGCTGTCAAGTCAGAAGATTTTGCAGTTTGCGAGATGGGAGGAAAGTGCTTCAGTGGCTTTTTTAAGGTTGCACACTGGATTCTGATTCTTGTTCTCTAGCACTTTGCCAAGAATTCCACAGGATGGTTGTATCGGCAATGTCTAGTCTGATACAATGAGTTACTTATTCATCATATGAATCATTAATGATGTAGACACTGATTATTGTTTTATTAGCTAACTTCCGACAAATCAATCAACCCTCAGCCAGAAATTTACAGGACCTTGTGACACAGTAGCAAGGTCACCTACAGACCCACGAGGTGCGTAGCGTTTCTTTTCTTCCCAGCAGAGTTTCACCAAATTGTGCGTACAATTTAGGGGTAAAAAGCTACAATTCTAATGCTGTAAAGCCTTCAGCTGCAGGACTATTTGCTTCTGAGACATGACAGTGACAGCTACTGACCTGGGCTGGGTTCAGTGAGTGGTCCTCCTCATCCCAGAGAGTCACCTCTTACAGGGATAGAAAAGAAAAGATGGCCATGCTCCAGAGAGAAGCCCAGTGTAGGAGGAATCATAAGCACTGTGGACCACAGCCTCAACTCTGCTTAATCTTAACCAACCAGTGTGAGAAGCCCACCAACAGAGAGACCATGTTTTTCTGTATTTCTGGTTGCCCTCAAGAGAACAAACCCCAAATCTGTATAAACCAGACCTATCCTTGTCTGATATTTGAAGTTTCTGTAGGTTTGTTGCCTAACCTAATCTTGCTAATTATGGTCAGTTTTCTTATTCCCATCCCTAGTCTTAGGTCTTTAGTAGTTAGAAAGAGGTAACACTTCTGTCTACAATTTCCGGACCTTTCTCGCTCAGTCTGTGGAAGTAGCAACCACTGGCTCTGTCAGACAGAACAAGCTGATGTAAGTGCTACCCTCAGGTGGGCAGCACTGTGGTTTGTAAGTCCCTGCCTTTCAAGCTCCTGTTCTTTCCTCAGGGACCACATACACCTCTGCATGCCTGCGAAGGCCTTTGGTAGCAGAGAACAAAGGTTGAACAGTGTGCTCTTCCCTACCCGCTCAAGAGCAGGCTGTTTCAGAGTGGGACCTGACTCTTCTAAAGGAGGAAGTGAGCTCATTCTTCCAGGAAGCATTTGAGCTTCCCTTCCATGTCTGTTTTCTCCTAAGGTCTAGAGTAGTCAACATGATACAGAAAGGTCCTGGTCTCCAGGGAGTTCTCTTTGAAAGAAGACCTCCCATAAGTCAATGAATGTACTTTGAGTCAACAAGTAACTCCGAGTAGGAGGTCTCTGCATCACTCATAGTCAGCAATGTTGAAGACCAACAAAAATATTTTCTACAAAACTAGGACGAGGCTTTGAAAAGAAATGAAAGCAGATGAGTTACAGACACTGAAAAGTCCTTGCACTTTGTCATATAGATCCACATCACAAGAACTGCAATTCTGGGCTCCCTTCCCCTGAATGCTGTCAAGGAGACACAGTAGGCCACAGTTCCCAAAGAGCCCAAGCCTTCAGGGACATATAGCTAAGTGGAACTAAGGGTCCCCAAGTCAAATCCTATTCTCTTTTCTTACTATATGCATCATATGACAAAGCAAACAGAATACCTATGGGTGTCTGGTGTGGGACCATGGTCTGTATTCTCTCAATTATATTTTAAATAAATGCTGATTGGCCAGTAGCCAGGCAGGAAGTATAGGTGGGACAACCATACAGGAAGTAGAGGTGGGTCAATGAGAACAGAAGAATTCTGGGAGGAGGGAAGCCCATTCCTCTGCATTTCTGACCTAACTACAGAAGCGGCAAGATGTGACTGCCCCGCTAAAGAAGGTACTGAGCCACATGGCTCACATTGACAAGAATGATGGGCTAATATACGGTATAAGAGTTAATAAGAAGCCCGAGCTAATGGACCAATCAGTTTAGAGTTAATGTAGACCTCTGTGTGATTTCTTTGGGACTTAAGGATTGTGGGAACCTGGCAGGACAGAAACCTCAACAACAGGTGTGCAGAAGGGAAAATAGTTATTTGATTTTAGGAAAACTGATTGAAGAATCATAATAACCTAACGTATCAATATGTCATTTTTTCTTTCTTTGTAGAGATAGCCATATATCACTCTAAGAAGAAAATGTATAGATTCATTGACAATGAACATAATTTTTTCTTTAAAAAGAAAAAAAAAAAAGAAGGGGATGGAGCAATGGTTCAGCATGAAAGAATGCTCACTGCTTTTGGAGAGACCTGGGCTCAGTTCCTAGCACCCACGTCAGGTGACTCCCAACAACTTGTGACTCTAGTTCCAGGGGAATCTGCCCTCTTTTGGCCTCCACATGCCTCTGGATGTACATGGTGTATATAAGTCCACATGGGCACACACATAAATAACAAATCTTTCTTTAAAAAAAGAAAATGCCTACTTTGTGTCAAACAAAACCTCAAATGACCAACTCTTGCAAATATGTTGAATGTCTGAGTGTGGCTCAGGTGGGGACACATGGCTCTTGGGAGTGTTTGGCAAATTTGCCCTTGTGTTCCTTCTTCCATAAAAAATTATTAAAATTATCTATCTTAACTGTGTTAGTACCAAAATAGATGCAATTCGGATTACATACTATATATTCATTAATATATTTATATTTTTCTTATACTTGGAAAATAAGTTAAAATTAAAATATTTTCATAGGCCACTGCAGTACCTCTGAGCACTGTGTCTAGCAAGGAAACTGGCTTTTCACCGGCTTCAGACCACAAACCCTTGGTTTTGTGAGCCCTCAAGATAGACACAGGTAAGAAAAAGAAATTCCAGTACATTTCCTGGCTGTGATGAAGACCCGCAGGGAGCAAACCAGGTCTCCACAGTTAACAGAACTCCCATGAGTTCCGACACCCCAAGGAATCTTAACTTCATTGAAAGATGGTTTTTGCGACAGCTGTGAACTCTTCCGGAATAGCTCAGCAGAGCCAACATTTTCCACTCCAGCGAAGCATCGTTATCTTGTGGGTTGAGCCAAGAAGGTCTAACCCAGTGGTTCTCAATCAGTGGGTCACGACCCCTTTGGTGCCCGAACAACCCCTTCATGGGGGTTGCCTAAGGCCATCAGAAAACACAAATGTTTCCATTATAATTCATAATGGTAGCAAAATTACAGTTATGAAGTAGCAATAAAAATAATTTTATGGTTGGGGTTGACAACAATATGAGGAGCTGTTTTAAAGGGTCGCAGCCTCAGGGGGGTAGAGAATGACTGCTTTAACCCATCCTGGGGTTTCAGTTCCTTTTTCTTTTTTATCTTTTTCCATGTTGTTATAAAATTGAAAGTATAAACATCCACATGCACAAAAAAGTAAGAGCAGTGTGCTTACTTGATAAAGTTCCTATCTCTTTGTGAAACTCTGATGTGGGATCGAGCAATGCTCATCACTTGGCAAACAGCCTCAGCTGTGGTCAGAGTCGGGTCCGCTCCGACAGTCGGAGAGAGGACAGACAAACTCGTGCCTGGAACTGTCCCTTCCTTTGCCTTTTCATTATGACAGCATCCAGACCCCATCACCACAACATCAGAGTGCGATTTCTAAACTGGAGGAATAGCAGCCAAAAGGGACAAAGAGAACGTTGACCAATGACAAGCATCTAAAAGGAACACGAACTCATTGGCTTGTAGCAGGCTAACAGGAAGAAGCAGGCAAGGCGAGGAGAGATTCTTTCTGATCCTGTGTCTACCCTGTGTCTTTTACCGGGAAGCAAGCATTGTCTTCCATTTCACGTACTCTCCTAACAACAGTTCTTATTCTGGATAGCAAGAGAGTTAAGCATTATTTTAAAATAGTGTGTCTGTTTTTAAAGAACCTACTTAAAAATAAAAAAAATTGCTTCAGTCTATAATCTATAAAAATATATAAATCTAATGAACATAAATTATAAACATTAACCTTTTGTCACATATTTCATAATTAAGTAGCCAAAAAAAAAAAAAGAGAGAAAACCCAGAACAGGAAAGTGAGAAAAAGGGAAACAGCTTACTTTCACAGTTGGCGCTGGCTTTTCTGACGTCTTTACCCACGACTCCTACTGTCTCACCTATAGTGGAGACAAAAAAAAAAAAAAATAATTGATTTATTAAAATGTTACTTTTTAGAATTATCTTTATTTACTTAGTTTTCATGTGTGTGTGTTATATGTGTACAGGGACAGAGGACAGAGGAGGACGTCGGGTGTCCTGCCCTATCCTTCTCCATGTCCCTCTTTTCAGAAAGGAATCAACAACTCAGAGTGCTCCTCCTGTTTCCGGCCCACACAGCTATGGAGTTCTAGGCACCTGTGGTCATACTTGGCTGGTCACAGGGGTGCCAGAGATTTGAACTCAGGTCCTCATGCTTGCACATATGCTCTTACATACTGAGCCATCTCCTCTGCCCCGGAACATGGATGAGATATTAGCGCTGACTTAAAGCAACAAGTGAGGATTAGTAGCCACAAGGCCAGAATTTACCAAGAAACTGTCACAACAATTCTAAAATAATCATAAAAAGAATTAAAACCCCACAAATCTTATAGGCGGTCATACTGAAACGACACTGATGCCCACTTATCTTTCATTTTCTTCTTGGCTCAAAAAATTCAAGACTTGAACTTTTGATAGTTCTGAAAGTCAAGAATTCCAACCATTTTCCCCGAACCCGGAAGTGCTTCTCCTAGTAAAGGGAGGATGAACCCAGAGGCCACAAAGCAGGGAAGAAGAGGGGAGTAAGATGCCAGTCAGTCTCCGCTGCAGCATCTCTAAGATCCAGCCTCCAAGGCTGTGGCCAAGGATCCTTGAGTTTCTCTCCATGTCTCTACCCATGAATTCTTCTCAGCTTCCATCTCTATGAGGCAGTTGGAAGGTGGAGTCTTCCATCTTGCCTCTAGAAGAATAGAATTTCTGGTTTTGTCTCTTCACCGTGTTTGAAAAGGAGGAGTCGTAGACACCTCAGTGTTCAAAGTTTCAAGATACGCACTGCCCAAGTGAAGTCAGTGTTGTCAATTTTTAAAAGAAAAGCAAATGTGCTTAGAAATTTAACAATCGTATATCTTTTTTAGAAATATTTTTATCTAATGCATGTGGGGTTTGGGTGTTTTGCCTGAGAGTATGCATGAGCACCATATGCATGCAGTGCCTGAAGAGGCCAGAAGAGGGCATAGTTCCTTAAACTGGAGTTACAGAGGTTCTGAGCCACGATGTGGGTGTGGGGAACTGAAGCTGGATCTTCTGGAAGAGCAGCCAGTGCTCTTAACCACTGAGCCATTTCTGTAGTCCCCCAACTCCATATCTTTATGAACATTCTAGAAATTATTCTATGTGACTGATGGAAGGGTCAAAATAAGAATGTAAGAGAGAAGAAGAGCTTGTTGAGTAACAACACAGCAAGCGAGGTATGGGGGTGAAGGATGACCATTGTTAGAACAGTCCGAAAAAGTGCAAACTTGTAAAACATTTGAAAAAAATCCACCCAATAAAATCTTTTTATAATATTTAGTCCCACCTAAAGATGAAATCGCAGCTCTCACATTAAAATGAGTAAGTTAATTTTATCTCATATGTGGGGAGTCAAAACAAAGGAATTTGAAATTTGCTTGTGACTCAAGTAAGTGATGCCGTTTTAGTTTTAAATTGGAGAAAGCAAAGGAATGAACTAAATATTTAGTTTCAGTTAAGCTAGAAAAGGACCGTGTGTGTGTGTGTACAGATATAAGGAAGAATGCACAATTTAATGAGTTAAAATTAAAAGCTGCTTCTTTGCAAATTATGGAACCACAGAGACTTGTTTTTTTTTTTTTTTTTTTTTTTTGAAAATGTAGCCTTAAAACCAAACATGAGAAGAGAATTATTCAAGGAATGCAAGCCAGACATGGAAAAGATTTTAACATGTAGAGTATTGAAAAGTATCTTCAGGGGCCAATGTGAGGATCTCAGTGAGAAGTTTTCTAAGCTGATATTTAATGATCAGAACTGAGCCCAAAATAGAAATGCTTGAAATATGAGCCAGTATGGTTTATTTTAAAAATCTCCAAACTGCAGTTTAAAAAGAGGCTGTCTGATTGGCTTGCTGAAGCAAACCGAAGACTCTTCACCAATCTACACAAAGAAACAAAAGTAAGGCACTTCTTTGATTCAAATAAGATGCAAGGATCCTAAACAGAGAGTGCTGCAGCCAGTTTCTAATTAACGTCACATCAGTATGGGGACTGTTCTACAGGTATACATAGGTACGCATAGAGACACTGTGCGTTATCAGAAGGCAGGAAGAGCTTCAGCATCTGACACTGGGCTCCATCAATATCTAGTACGGTGTTTGATAGTCTTATAAAGTACTTTAAATACAGAAAAATAAAAAAAATAGAAGATCACTATACAATAGTGAAAGGGAATATACAGGCTAGTTACTACCATGAGCAGGCGACAAGGCTGTACACTTAGACAGCACAATTGAGTTTGTTTGCTTGTGGAACTCAGGGCCTCATGCTTGGAGTGTGGCTAGTGCTCTACTCCCAACCCTAAGAGAAAGATTTTTCTTGTTTTTTCTTTTTTCTTTTTCTTTTTCTTTTTTTTTTAAAGAGGGACGGTGTTATGAGAAAGGGTCTGGTAGCCCAGGCTTGCCTCAATTCACTATATAACTGGGAATGACCTCTAATTGGTCCTCTTGCCTCCACCGCCCAAGTGCTGGAATTATGGGCTTCATCACCACCCAACTTGGCTTCCAGGAGAAAAATCATAAATGATAAGAAAGTGCACAATTTCACGAAACGATCTAACGCACAATATGCAAAAAGCAAGGGGTTTTATCCAATAACAGCCATGTCTAGTCACAAGGGATTGAGAATGGAGATCATCACCAAGGAGACATAGTCAGAAAAAATTACCCTCATAAAAGACACAAAGAAGACAGTAACAGAGCAATTTGGGGGTCAATAACAGTTGCTTCATGAGAAATGGAGAAAAGTACACATGCATTAGGTTTTTCAGAAGAACAGCAACACTATACTGTTAGGAAATTCAATATGAGGTAAACCAGCACACTGGTATTTTTGGCCTGATAGGAATACAAGGCAAGTGGGGGAGGGAACATTTACAAGCAGCGGGGATTATTTATAGATGAACACCTGGGAACCTCATCGGCTGCTCTGTAAATTCAATATGGGATTAAAAAAAATCAAGAATATTTGATTATTTGGCCTTAAGTGCAAAATCCACTAATGGAGTGTGCTTGGGGCATTAAATACAAATAGAATTCGATGTAAAAACAAAATGAACCTTCATTACACTTCAGAAGGAAGGTTAGGGAAATGTTATAAAATAACCATCAATGTTATATATATGCCAAGAAAATGCTGATCACCCTTAGCTGAATCATGGCAAAACAAATCTCATTTTATTGCTTTTGGCCCAAGGACAAGGCTAGGCTTATAGTCTGGAAGGCAAGCAAGGCGATGTTTAAAGTCAGTTACAAAGGCAAAACCAGGTAATGTGAGTTCATGTATAAAAATAAATAAAATGTCAGGGTTGGTTTTTTTTTTTTTTATAAAGAGGAAACATGAAGTCCAATATAGCACCATGTCCTTTTAACTCCAGTGTCTAAAATAAGCTAGCTCACCTTTAATTTTAGGTGACATTCAGGTAGAAGCTGAAGAGCTGGGGCAACAGCTACAGCATCAAGTCTAGATATTCCAGAATGAATGCTAACAAAATCGCCCAGGGAAGGAACCAATGCTGCTTTTTATATGTAGGACGACACGAGAAGGATTGTTACGTGACTAGCTAGAAACAGTTTTCAATGCATGGTCTTAAAAGGACCAATTCTACTTCGGATAACTCCTGTACAAAGTCTCCAGCATGCATATCTTTCCTAAGATGTCACTTAGTTGACAGATAGCTGCCCCACAGATAGCAACCTTCCCCCCACCCCGCCATGGATTTGTTACTTCCGTGAGTAAAACCCATGGACTTCCTAAATCAGTTAACCAACAAGGCAAAAGACCAACAACAAAATTTTCTCAATCTCTTCCGAAGTTTCTAGAAAATATTTTTAAAACTAAAACCCTGGATGATCAAGTAGACAAAGACAGTGTTTTTGAGGCAATCTAAAATTTGAGGACATAAAGCTTGAAAGGCTTTCTGTTTGAATTAGAGTCTTGCTTCTCCCTGGGCCTGCCATCTTGGGGCGCCATTCCACAAATGTCCCACCTGTCCCTTCGATCTGAGAATGCTGCTAAGGTGTGCTGGGACTCTGATCCACTGCGACAGAGAAACTCTCTCTTTCTTTCTTTCTTTCTTTCTTTCTTTCTTTCTTTCTTTCTTTCTTTCTTTCTTTCGTTATGATTTTTTATTGAAAATAACTTTTTCATAGAATATATCTGATCACAGATTTTCTTCCCTCATCTCATCCCAGATCCTCCCGCCTCCCGTCCGTGCAACACCACTCCTTCCTTTTCTTTCCTTAAAAAACAAACAGGCAAATAAACAAACAAACAGGAATAAGAAATAACGAAAAGCACAAGAAACACATACATACAGAAACACACACACACACACAAAACCCATAAAACATAAAGTCAGAAACCATAAGACACAAGAGAAAGATCAGTAAAGTAAAGCAAAAATGAAAACAAAACACCCCAAACAATGCAATATGAGACAAAAATCTCCAAAAAATACCACCGAGTTCATTTTATGTTGACCATGTGGTGTTAAGCATTGGGCCTGACCTTAAGTGTGGTTTGTATGCCTGGTGAGACTCCAACAGAGGAAACTAATTTTTCCTTTGCAAGTATATGTCAAATGGAGATAGCTTCTTGGTTAGGCACGGGGGCTTGTGTCTACTTCCCCTCCCAGGGGTAGGACCCCATATTGCTAGGACATGTGCAGGCCCCATGGATACTCCCACAGTCTCTGTGAGTTCACAGGTACGTCAGTCCTGCTGGGTCTGGATGACACTGTCTCCTTGGTGTCGTCCATCCCCAATGGCTCTGACGACCTTTCTACCCCCTCCTTTGCAGAGCTTCTTGAGCGCTAAGGGGAGTGGCTTGATAAAGACCTATCATTT